CTAGGAGTGAGAGAGAGAGAGAAAGAGAAGACAGAAGAATTAATGACATAAGAGAGAGGGGATAATCAAAATAAAAAATCTTGAGAAGGCAGAATGAGAGAACCAGTGTAGAATGAAGGTATGAGAAGGTAAATCTCTTCCTTGGAAACAAAAGGGAAGTCAAGGATTGACATGTGAGTAAGCTTATATTTATTGTTATTTTTTTGTGTGTGAGGAAGATCAGCCCTGTGCTAACATCTGCCAATCCTCCTCTTCTTTTGCTGAGGAAGACCGGCCCTGGGCTAATCCGTGTCCATCTTCCTCCACTTTATATGGGACGCCACCACAGCATGGCTCCCCAAGCAGTGCGTAGGTGCGCACCCGGGATCCGAACCAGTGAACCCCGGGCCGCCTCAGCGGAGCACGAGCACTTAACCGCTTGTGCCACCGGGCCAGCCCCATGAGTAAGCTTATATATTTGACTGAAGGATATCCAATCTGATGACTTTTACTTCCTTTGGGGAGTAGGAGTTAAGAGTATCTGCTTTGAGACAGGAGGATATAGGATTAAAGAGAGAAGAGAAAGTAGGAAAAGCCATTGTAGAAAATAAGAGTGAACTGAAAGGAGTTCACTCTAGTTCCTAGTAAGATTTCGGGGGAGTGCAGAGCACCCACTTGAAACTGGCAGCTCGGTGTTAATAGTGGTGGCCATCTATTCACGTGTCATGCTTTCTGAGAGTGTTTGGCCACTCAGAGGAAGTGATGTTTTAGGGTAGAGACTAATTTCCACATAGGCAAAGAGGTTGAGTGAATTTTCAGTGAAATTGTTAGGAAAACCTTATAGAGCCACGGAGAGCCCAAGTGTTCCTCTGTTCCAAAGAGATGGTTGTGGCAAACACACCTACTATCTATCCCATAGCACAGTAGTAGTTTTCAACCTTTATCAGCTGCTGATGCCTCTCAACCCCACTCCTAGGAGCAGTTCCATCTTATACTTGTCTTTTTCTCTTCTGGATCCTTCCTTTTGCACTGCCAGATATAGGCAAGGGAGGAGAAAACTCTGGAGTTATGACACATGAACACATTGTGTCTCCATGACAGAGAAGCTGTGGAACCAGAACTCCAGCACTTTAGAATAACTAAGATGGTGTGGAAGTCCAGTGATCTCATCACAAGAAACATCTTAAATAAATTCAGTGTCAAATTCAGTGTCATTACTACAAAGTGTAAAAAGCTCTCCTTGACTGATGATTAAGCAATAGTCCTCATTGGCAATCCACAGAAACTTAATAAGCAATTGGGCAACATCAGACACAAATCTCTTATCTTATTAGAGTGAGCATATGTTTTTCTTTTTTTTTTATAATTTTATTTATTTATTTATTTTTTCCCCCAAAGCCCCAGTAGATAGTTGTATGTCAGAGTTGCACATCCTTCTAGTTGCTGTTTTTCTTTCTTATAATATGGTAATGTATTAAGTCTATTTTAATAGAGTCTCAAGTTCTTATTCAGTGTTTAGCACCTTATTAACATAATAAGCAGGGCATTCCCCTTCCTATCATGTCAACACACCAAAAGTATGTTTCCTATTCACTTTCCCAGGTATCACGGTATATTGCTGAATATTTGGAAATAGAAAAGTGTAGAGGTTAATTTGAAATTCTTTTATATACTTCCACCAGGTAAGTACTGTACCGAAGCCTATTTCAAAGAGATACTTATGCTTAGATTTTGCCTACATTCTTGTGACCTTTATTTTTACATTGTGCCATTTTTTACTCAGTAACTAAGCTAAATATGGCATATATTGTGCTATTCTTAAATAGCATGTGTTTCTTCTCTCTTATATTTTGGAGTTTTGTTGTGAATATACATAATCTTTGCTGGTGCTTTTGCAAAGAATGGAATTTCTGAGATTGGGTGCTAAATTCCAGGTTTCAATCTTCAAAAATCCTGGACTTTAAGTAAGAATGCATGTTATCCAAAATAAAGTATTTCCTGAGCATAACAAAGACTTTGCAATAGGAAATAGGAACTTGCTGAAGCTCATTAATTTCTTTGTAGTCATCCTTTCACGTAATTTCTCAGGCACAGGTCTGAAAGTGGTTTTGACTTTAAGTTGACAGTTAAGAAAAAGACAATTTAGTTAGGCTTACTATAATTCAAGTCTTTCTGTGAGGAACAAGGCTAAATTTTCTTTTTTTCTTTCAATATTGATAGAGAAGCTGATTTGTTGAAAATGCCCCTCAGGGTTTTGAGTTGGAAGACATTACTAGACTCATTGACTGAAAACATTTTCATGATTGTTTAAATTTATATTTTTTAGAGATTACTTCAGCAAAGAGCTGTTGACCAAATGGTAAATTTAATGAGGTTTCCACTGAAAATGCACAATCACAGTGAACTGTAATAGAACAATAGATAGGCAAACAATGACCTCACCTTGTACTAACATATAGGTCTTTGTAATCAAAGTGTTACAGATTAACGAACCCAGAGATTCCCTAGATGCTTTACTCTTTCTTGAAAGTGATGAAATCTTGATGGAGGAGGACTTCAAAGCAAATGTAATAAATATAAGCACTCTTAACTGTAAGACACATGTTTTTCAGTAGTTTGTGATCAGCACTTAAAGTCGTTTTCATTGTATCCCTCTCTTATTCAAGGACGTGATTACTACCTTTTGTAAACTCTTCAACCTAGCATTCAAAGCCTTCCTACCAGTTTTCCTCCTCTCGGCAGCTTCCTTTCCTCTGCTCTCCATACTGGGCCCCTCAGAATGATCAAAACAATGTGCAGCTTTTTCCTACACAGAACCTGATCTTTCTTGCCTGCACATCTCACAATATGCCATCCCTTTTGCTCCTTGTATTTGTGCTGATCCAAGTTCTCTTTCACAATTTGACATATATTTTTCTAATACACAAAAAAACAATCTTCATAATTAATTCCATGTGGCTCTTCAAACCTCTATTTACCTCTGCTTTCTCTTTGTGGGAAATCGGGAGTAATAAGTTGTGTTGCTATATTATTATTTTTTTTTGGTGAGGAAGATTAGCCCTGAGCTAATCTGTTGCCAATCTTCCTCTTTTTGCTGAGGAAGACTGGCCCTGGGCTAACATCCGTGCCCATCTTCCTCTACTTTATATGGAACGCCACCACAGCAAGGCTTGACAAGCAGTGTGTCGGTGTGCGCCCAGGATCCAAACCAGGAGACCGTGGGCCACCAAAGCCAAACATACGCACTTAACGGCTATGCCACCCGCCCAGCCCCATACTATTTTTATCTTTAAGACTTTGGCCTATCCATTTGGATTCATTCTGCCTCTATATTGTGAATAATGCTAATACTACTTTCCTAGTGGATTTGTTGCCGTGATTAAATAAGATAATGTATGTAAAATATTTAGAACAGGGCTGACATACGGTAAAGTCTTAATAAATATCATACTAAAGCAAATACTTATATTTTCTGTATGTAGTAAGTGGCTGAAACTTTTCTAAGCCTTTCCTCGAGTTTGTCACCCACAATGACTCTTTCAGGAGGCACTTATAGAACTCTCTAGATAGTAGAGAATACTGAGACCTACGTCCCTTATCAGTTAGAACGTCTCAAGTCACATGGATTTCTTCTCATTCTCAGGCTATTTGAATTTTCAAACCTTTTTAGATATTAGATGATGTCAAATTGTTGGTCGTTGTTAATTTTAGCACAAATACTAGTTTAGGATGCAATCCATTGTTGGTACTTAGAACAGTGCCTGGCATGCAGGGAGCACTCAATAGATGTTGTTACTATTATTGTTATTATTATTGTTGTTGTTGTGTTATGAGTGTTCAGGGTTTCTCTTTTTCTGTTCTCCTGAATTCAATGATTAAATTTGCATTTAAAACTAACACCCAAAATGCCTTTTAAAACATTTCAGAATATATTAATTAATTTAAAAACAACTCAGTGATATCCTAGAGATTATTGTGTCTACATCACTTAAAATTTGTACATTTATGACATCCTAATTTTTGAGGTAACCTTTTTAAATTGGGAAAGCTAACTGAAAGTGAAGTATCTTACCAGATATTTTAATTAAAAGAAATTTTCTTTTTGCACATCCGTGAAAATCTTCAAAATCAATTCAAAAAGTACTCAGAAAGCAACTACCACAGGCTCACTGTTGTACTATGTGTTAATTCCCAAGGATGATTTGTAGAATATTAAAATCCAAACGGATTCTTAAAAGTTTTGCCAGCTGTCAAGTCGGATTACTTTAAATCCATGTTTTAAAAATGCAAAACTTTGTCCTAAAGGAAAAATCCTTAATAAAAACCCTTACTTTGTAAGTTTCCACAGCTATTTTACCTTTTAGAAAGGCAACTTCAGTAAGTCAAGGTCTTTCATTGTGTGCTTATTAAAACTTAAAAAGTGAAAAATAAAAGTTTAAGAAACGAGCACTTGGGGCCAAAAGAGATCTTAAAAGATACTTTCGCTGAGTTTCTTTCCTTTGGGAAATTCATAAATTCTTCCTTATATCTAAACATTAGCAATAATTTGCCAGTAAGTTATAATTTTTAAACTAATTTAACAAAATCATTAATGTATTTTGTTGTTGATTTTGGTCACAAGACCTTCCACGGACTTGTTTTGAGATACTCCCCTTGCAAAAATGGACCTTCAGTTACCTGAGAACTAACCTCGATGTTTTTGTCCTGCATAACATTGTTTTCGAATGAGATTAGGAGCGCTGATCTATAATATTTTGTCTACATATCCTGGCAGCCTTATAATTTTTAATTTTGGATTGCCTTTTGCATCTCCCCTGTGGCTCCGCGTTTCACCGAAGTCTGAGTCAGTTGACTGCGTCAGACCTGAACTTGGAGCGGGTAACTTGAGACAGTGCCACCAGCCGTTAGGCGGAAGCCTGAAACTCAGTCACGAAACATGGGGCGGGATTAAGGTCCAAAGCTCCGCACCGGTTCCAACTGATTGGAAGGAACCAGGCGGGTGGAACCTCCTGCCCCTGCCCCCGAGCCTCCTGTCGCTAGGGACGCTTCGGCCAAGGCAACTGCAATGGATCAGGAAGAGGGGTCGACGGCTGCGGACAACTTAGTCACTCAGTTCAACACCTATGAGGATTTCCTCGACTCACAGATCACTACCGTGGACTTGTACTACCTGGAGGTAACGGCGGCGCCACCGCCTTCCCGTCCCTCGGACCCTTCCGAGCCCGCGCGTCGTGGGGTGTTCGCCCCCTGGCGGCGGGCCGCGCCGTCATCAGGCCCAGCCGTTTGCCGACGGCGGCGCCCAAGCAGCGGCGGAGGTGACCCGCCGGTCCTTGCCGCCCCGCGCCGCTCGGCGCGCACAGAATGCGGCCCATCTCGTCTCCCGGCGCGGAACTACGCGCGTGCGCACGCACACGCTCGCCGCGGAGTCTTGACTCAGCCACACCTGTCGCGGCCGCCTCACTCCCCTTCCCAAGTCCTTCTCCTAGGAGGAGGGTGGCTGGATTCTGAGGCCTGCTAGGACTCTTCCGGTGGGCTGTAATTCAGGTCTGACACCCCGTTTCTCTTTCCTTAGCCAGTTTGTAGTCAAGAACAGAAAACAGTATCCTTCCAGGGCAGGTGGAAGTGTTATTTAGGCGTTTGAGTCTGAAAGCTTCCACTCTACGGTAGTTGATTCAGAAAGCCCTTTAATTACGCGTACGCTTTACAGGTCGTTGTGCAGGCATATTGCTGACTCATATTTATCGAGTTGGTGATCACAGCTAATGTTGATATTTTAAAAAAAAGCCTGCAACACAGCAAAATTGGACGTAAGGGGATTGGCTTCTGTCTTCCACCCAGCAGCCGCCCTCCTCCCCGCTTCTTAAAGGTGTGTGTGTGATGGGGGGATGGGTTGGGGAGCGGGGGAATAGAGTTCTTGGCCTGTGCGAAGCGAACCGGGATAAGTGGGGAAAAAATAGGCTGCAGGTTCTGAGACGCAGGAGGTGGACAGTGGGTCCCTATAGCCCTGGTATAGCCCCAGACCAGGCCGACCAAATGGGCGCTGACTGGAGAGTCGGCTGTCCTGGAGCCAAGCCTCAGAACCCCAAATTGCACCCTCCTACTTAGGCCGGAGAGAACAAGCGCCACTATGTGGTGGCGACCCACACCCGAACCTGAGAAGGATTTGGATCCTGCAGCCAACTCCCTAAACTCCTTAGCTGCAACAATGGGATTCTGCGTTTCACTGGATTGAAATTTTTGGGCTCCAAAGATCGCGTTAAGCGGGATTTTACTTAAATGTGGATTCCAAGGTTTGAAAAATGCTTATCCTCCAAAACACATTCATGTGCTAGATATGAGCATAATTTTAAGGAAATGGAAACATCTAATTTCTAGTCCTATCTCAGCCACAAACAAGTTGTGTGACCTTGGAAAAGTAATTTGATCTTTCTGAAATTATCTGTTAAAAAATAAATCCAGGTGATATTTTTAACATAGCTTCTGGCTTCAAAAAGAAGCTTTTAAATATTTTATACAGATAATATATTTAAAGTCATGAAAGTGAGTTTTGTGCCTTGCATCTACGTCACTGAAATGAAGGGAAAAAAGTAATGGTGCTAAACAATGTTGGCATCCAAATTTTTGAATGTTTAAATAAACAGGAATAAAATATAGACAGTAAACATCGTGATAGAATAAAATCATCATCGTAGCACAAGTGGAAGATTGCCAGGCTTAATTAAGCCTAGTATCATTAAGAAAGGTGTCAATTTTTTTTTTTTTTAAGGCAGGGTTTTTCATGTAAGGAACTAAAAACATTACTGTTGATTAGAAGTGAGAAATTAATACGTTGTGTTTCATCAGTCAGAGCTTTAAAGGTCTCCAAAATGGAAAATGGTTAATATATTTGGGGGAATGATAAAGAAATTTACTTTTAACTTTGGCATTGGTTAAGCTTATTGTGTTTTCATAAAAAATAAGATGAAGATTTGGTTGAATAATGATATTAATGTGTGTGTATATATTTTTGGATTGAGTAATGAAAAATTTTAAGTGCCATTAGCTCTGGGAACCTATATTCTCAAATACTTTCTGTGGATGCAAGTTAATTGCCCACTTAGGTTGCACAGAGACAAGTGGCTCCTCAGAATTGGTTCAGTAGTATGGCTAGTATGACAATCGTGTCATGGGTCATGGGTCATGCTTTGTGAGGTGATTTTTGCTCTTTCTTTTTTGGTCATCAGTAATTGACAGCATATTATAGTTAGAAGAGCCTAGAGTCATGAGATTTGGGTTCTAATTCTGTATTATTGAATTTTTAACCACTTTGAAACTCCATTTCTTCATCTGCAAAATGAAGGGGCCGGGCTAGATTACATTCAGGATTCTTTATGTCAGTAAAATTTTGTGAGTCATCTATACATCCATCTGTCCATCCATGCATCCATGTATTCATCCAACTATTTAATTAATAAACCTTCACCAAGAGCCTACTATAGTAGATATTGCCTTAATTGCTAGGAATTTAAGAATCAGTTCTAGACTTGATATTAGTCACCTAACTTTCGTATAGTGCTTACAGTCCAGTCTAAGTTTTATATATTCAGCAAACTTTACAAATATTTATTATCTTCCAGGTACTCTTTTGTCATGTAGTATATTCTTCTATTGCCAAAAGTTTTCACTTAATTTCGATAAAAATTAGTACCATTGATTGACATACAAAATGGCCATATTATCTTTGCTGGATTCATTCTCTACCCTTCACCCTTATCTGTGCCCCTGGAAGCTGTCCTCTGTGGTCGTTAACCAGGCTCTTTTGGCTTTGGGTTTGTTTCAGCCAGTAGGAGGTCAGACGGCTGGAAGAGAGTAATTAGAGAATTTATTCCCTGTCATCTTCCTACTGGTTGTGGTTTGGAAGTGGCTTCATTCCTTAGGTTTGGTCAACTTCTCATTCCATCAGCTACAGCACTCTTTCCAGGTGCTGGCAGCACTCTGTTCTAGGAACTGTTTCCTCTCCTGTCTCCTTTTAGGCCTAAGTGGTGTTAATGACTTCCCACTCTTGTTAGCCCAAGGATGCTTCACCATCTCCTGTTGGTTTCCATTAATCCTGCCCATATCTTTGTAAATTGTGCTTTTATTTTTTTTAATCATCTCTTTTGAATTTGCCTCCCATGACCCTGACCTCTATATTATCATTTAATATCTCAGCCACTGTAAGTATACAAGTAGTGCATGAATACAATAACCACAATGGTTTTTATATGATACTTGATTAGGAAGGAAGGGAAGTAGGAAAAAAAATGAAGACTGACATTAGTTAACTATTTGATGAGCTGGAGAGGGGTAAGATGGTTAAGGGAGAATAAAAGAGGCTCTTCTTTCTGTGTCCCCTGTGCTTTGCTCATTTTACTAGACACCTATAAACCCTTAAAAGAAAATTATAACAGTATCAACAATTAGATTCGTCTCTGCTAACCCAAATAACATTATTTGTTCTAGGAGTTAATCATTTTACCTAATTAAACCAATCCCCAACATCAATATAAAAATACTTGGAAAGTTTTGGGAAAATTTTTGCACTGTGATATTCCAGATTCTTTCTTAGTAATTCTTCCATGTTAAATAAACACAGTCCCTTAATTTAAGAGGCTGTCTGTTACCCCTGGAGAGGTAAAAGTCCTGCTGAGTTTCTTTTCCCAGATAAGGAATCAAGGGGTGTTTTTAGAATTATTTAAAAATTTTTTTGACTAATGGATCCTAATCATGGCTATATTATTTACAGAGATTAGCAATGTGGAAGTTTTATTCAGAGGTTATCTTCCCATTATTTAGAAAATAGAAATAAATAAATCATACAAATTAAATTTTTTGGATATAATCTTAAAATTATTTGGCAAGCATTGATTGAGATTCTAGGAAAAATCCAGTAACATAATTTACCATGTTTATACAATAAGCCAACTAACAACTAACCATTGTATTTTTCCATTATTTATTGCATTAAGGTACAGAGTAAATACTGTTCCCTATAAAATGTCTTAGTTCATGTATTTCAGAATCAGCCATACTCTTTTGTCTATTCAGTAGAAAAAAATTGGCGTAAATTAGTTGCTCTCTGCTTAAGAGGAGTCCTATATTTTTCCTTTAGTAGGGTCACAGAGGTACTTCTCCCTAAGTAAAAATATCTAGTTTCCTCATGAGCATGAATTCTGATGATTACGGGGTGAAACCGAACTGAAAATACCACATCCACAATACTTCTGAAACTTTATCATAATAATAAAATGCTATGAGCCTAATATCATCCTCAGTGTCTCAAACAATCCCCTAAAATCTACATTTTGTGTATTTAAAGTATGTTCTATTCAATTTTTATTTATATTGACTTCAAAAGCTACTGCTGGGCGGAGACAAGAGTGGAGCAGGGAATATTCCCGAGAAGAGTGTGTAGAGTGAGACAAGACAGGGAGCTTAAGACAAAATACTGGAGAACAACCATGACTTATAGCATGGGCATGGAGGTGGTGCTCACAAAGGAGAATGAGAAGTGGTCAGAAAGGTAGAAGGAAATAAAGAGAATAGGATGATCCAAAAGCAAGAGCAGCTGGATAGCAAAACTGGAAACCCATGAACAACATTTGCACAAAACTAGGTGAGAGTTATTCCTATAAACCCCAGCATAAAAGCAGATGGGGAAAAACCATCCATAGCCGCAACACCTAGAAGGTATCAGCATCCATGCAGGAGAAAAGCAGAGAAAACAATGGAGCATCTAAAGGACCCCCAAACAAGAAACTACAAAATAGTCAGCAGGTACTTGAAGTGGAGTGGTCCAGTTTGAGAACAGCAGCTGAAACTGGGAGGGGTTATGGCCATTTATTAGTAGGTGAGTGTGAAGGTTCCCAGGTGAGGTCTGAAGGAGCTGGAGCAAGGTAGCCCCTGTGAACTCTTGAAACTACCTTCCATAGCTCACTTTTGGGCAGTGCCCCACACTGTGGAGATGCTGTTAGGAGTGGAATCAATATTGAGCAGGATAGGGACAAAAGAGACAAAATTTGAAAGAGAAGGGTCAGATAAAAGCAAAGGAGTAAAAAGAAAATTGAAAAGGAAGAAATCTCAGAAAGAAGTGCCAAATTTTGGAACACTATATGGAAACAAAATAAGAGGGAAGTTCTGTGAGCCACAGTTTCTTTT